TGCCCTGGGCCCCGGTCCCACCCCCATCAATGAAGGTCCTCCCCCAGCACTTAGCAGCCATTATCGGGGGAGCTGATTGCATCCCCCTCCTCCTCTCCGGGAAACAGACACAGCTGGGGCCCGCCACATCTGCCGCATCAGCACGGAGCACAGCTGGGTGTGCCCAGAGCCACCATCCCCAAAACACAAAGCGGGGCGGAGGCCAAGGAGAGCCCAGACCCCTGAGACAGACACACTGACACCTCTGCCAACAGACATACTCCTAGTGGCAAAGCTCTACCCACCACCACACAGGCTCCCTCGCTCCCTCGAGTGCAGACAGAACTGACAAACATGCAATTACTCTGCCCCACCCACCACCCCCGCTCCCCTCCCCCTGCCCCCTCTACTCCTCCTCTTCCTTCCCTCCAGGCTCCCCTCCGTCACCTCCACCACCTCTGAACGGCTGCAGACTCTCGTCTGGAAGGAGCAGGGGTCTCACCCTCCCCAAGTGCACACGTCTGGGAGGCTTGGGGAGCAGGAGGGCTGGAGATGGCGAGGGGCTTCCAATCCAGGGCGCCAGCCTGGAGAAGCCACCTGCCTCCCTCCATGCCCACACCTCTCCCCACAAAGAAACCCCCTTGAAATGCGGGTCCTTGCCACCCTGGGCATGATGAGGTCTCCATCCAAGGACAGGCTGGCTGGGTACCCTACGGATGTTCCCCGTGACCCTGGGTTTCATTGGCCACCTCTAGGAGGCATTGCGTGCCCTCATTCTTGCCAGGAGCTCAGCGGCTCCCAGGGCTGGCCTCTGCCACTTACTCCCACCCAACAATCTACCAGCACCCTACCCTCAGCAATGGCCCCTTCTGCTTAGCTCTGCTGCCTCTGACAGGTGCAGGGTGTGGGGCTCGCCAGTGGTCGAGAAGACCACCCTCCGCAGGAGATGCGCTGGGGTCCCCTCTATCCCCCCTCGTTCCTAGGTGATGATCGCCTCTCGGTTCCTGACTAAATCCTGCCCTTTTGGCAGCCCTCGTTTCTCCCATCATCTCCTTGGTCCTGATGTCTTGCCCTCAACCCTCTCCTCCCTGCCTCGCCCCCGCCCCCGCCCCCACCCCTCAGCGCTTTAATCCCTCCTGCTGCTGTGCCGCCTTATCTGTTCCCAGCAGCTTTCGCTACTGCAAAGCCCTCTCCCCCTCCTCTTCTGGATCTTCTCCCTGCTCCTTCCCTGGCTCTCTCTTCGCTCTGACCTGCACTGCCCACCCCCCCTCGCCTCTCAGGCCGGGAGATGGCTCCTGGCTGACACCAGATCTGCACCCCAATGCCCTCTCTCCAGCCTCAGCTCCGACATTGCCAGCTGCCCACCCACTGCTACACTGGCCTCCTCCCCCCACCCACCCCTACCCCAAAGGCCCCACAGACTTGGTCAGTTTCTGTCCAGCCAAGATTTATCTTTCTTCTTTCCCTGCCCTCCCTTTCCTGGCCCCCTCCCCAGTTCCTCCAGCCGTCCTTCAATCCTGGACCTGGTCTCCTTCAGTCCCTAGTGACCCACTCTCTCAGCGTGGGCATCCCAAAGGGGGTTAGGGGTGCCACAGGAGTGGGGTCTGGGCTGGCCCTAGGATGGGGCCTGGGGTGCAGAGTGCAGGGGGCAGTGGGGGAAGGGCCTGGTGGTGGGACACTAACCCTCCTAAGTCGCTTCAGATCACGTCCGGGCCTCCCCACCCCCCTTCTCCGGGACTCTCATTAACCGTTTCTCCTGCCTCGTCCGCAGCATAAATAACCCAGATAAATCAGCCGCGGTCCGCCCCCCGCCCCTCAGCCCCCGCACAGCCCGTTTGTCACCGCTGCTTGCTCACCAGCCAGCCTGGCCCAGTCCCGGCCTCCACCCCCCAGCGTGGTCCCTGCCCACCCGCACTGGCTCATCCCTTGGTCCGCACCAGAGCCGGGGCTGGAACAAGTGTCTGGGCTGTCGAGGATGGCAAGGGGGGCGTCCTTTGGGACCAGGAGGGAGGCTGGGGACTCTCTCTAGGGGAATGCTTTCTAGGATTTTGGGGGTCATGTCATTTAGAATGGGGCCACCAAGACAAGGAGTTGGGGCCACACGTGGTGGGAAGGGGCGAATGCAGCTCAGCGTGGGGGTCCCTGTGCTGGGAGAAGAGGCAGAGCCCCAGGAGCCCTGATGCAGGAAGACCTGGAGGGTCCTTGGAGCCCCACACGCTGCATTCTGGGAGGTTTTATTTTGTCCGAATAACACCTGCCCCCTCCCAGGTGCTCAGAGTCAGAACCCCCTGCCCTCCCTGTCCCTCCGTCACTCTGCCCCCATTCCCATGCCCTGCCTGGTCAGGCTGGACAAATGCCACTCTAATCTCACCTCGCAGTCCATCCACCGTTCTCTTTCTTGGTCTGGAAGCCTAGTTCATCCCGTTTGGGGTGGGGGTGGGGGGGGCGGGTGGAGAATTGAACTGGGACCTAATCTGGGGAATGGGGACAACAGGGGACAGGACACCTGGCTAAGGCTTCAAGCCAGACCCGGTAATCACCCCCCACCATGGCCCCCGCTCTGTACCCGGCACTCACACTCCCAGCTAGAGTCCCTGACGGCCCTTTCCCATTTTGATCACACCCAGTTCGGGTTCTGGCCAGCTACACTTGGCCCTGACGCTCACTGCAGGGGGCAGCCTGTCCCCTGGGAGCGGGTGGGGGGGCAGGGAGGGGATGGGAGAGCTTGGGCGCTGGGCTGGGGGTGGGGGTGGGGAAGAAGCTGGGCCGGGCCCCAGGGACCAGCTGGGCAATGAGCCGGGGAAGCAGCCAGGAGGCTAAATGAGGGAGATTATCACCCAACTGCAGCCGGGCAGAGAGGGAGGCAGGCAGGGAAGCAGGGAGAGGGAGGGGAGAAAGGACGGGGGGCCAGAGGGAGAGCGGGTGTAGGGGGCCAGGGGGGAAACAGGAGACACTGGAGTGGGGGGCAGACCAAAGGATGGGCTGAAAGGGTGGGGTGGGGGGACTCCCACTGCGCATAGCCTGATTCCTGGGAGTCTGTACGATGGGGACGCGGGACACCTGGAGACAGCTGTCTGTCTGTGGGGCAATGGTGGGGGCGCCTGCCCTCCACTTCCAGTGCCCCGGGCTCCCCGCTCCTCCCCCACACCAGTTACCACCCAACTTCATTCCCTCTAAAGGCGGAAGGCTTCCTGCCAGGCCCTCAGGAGGAAAGAGGATGTGCTTTTGGCTCCTGATGGAGGCCAGTGTGTTGTGGGGAGTATGACTATGATCTCAGTGGATGGCAGGGCAACTTAGGGATGTGCACTGAGTCCAGGGCAGCAGCGAGTGCTGGGAAAAGCTTGGGGCGTAGCTCCCCGCTTTCTTGGCTGAGCCCCAGACTGAAATAACCTTAAAAAAGCAATTAAATCACCTTTTAAAAAAAGCAAAGAAAAATCAATACTAGGAGAAAGGGGAAGAGAGGCTGGGGGAGGACAAGGGGGTGGGGGAGGAAGCACTGGAAGGGTCCAGACTTAAAGTCCAGCAGAGAGGGGAAAGCGTGGGAGGGGCAGAGAGAGGGGGACGATCAGCAGCTGCTCCCAGTGCCAACCCCACTTTTCTTTTGGGGACCCTGCCAGATGCAGCCCCTGGCCCCAGGGGTCTTATCTTCCCAGCTTGGGGGTGCTGGCTTGTGGGGAGGCTCAGCCATGGGGCCCCTCAGGATGCTACTTTGATGAGAGGCTGGGGACAATCCCAGCAAAGTGCCAACAGGGCCAGGGTATGTGTGTGTGTGGGGGGGGGTGTTGGGATCCATGCTGGGGTGACCTGTGATGACTGAAGGGGGCTGACCTGTTCTTGCCTCCCAAGGGTGGCTCCCCTGCACCCCCCACCCCCATGGGGGCTATCCCTGGGGCCCTCCTCCAGGGCCCAGGGCAGGGGCTGCGCCCCGAGGGGGCAGGCCTGACGCCTGACACGCGGGAAGGGGTGGCCACCGGGCAGCGGGTGGACTCTCGGGCTCTAATCCCCAGCAGCTGCAGTTTCCCTCAGATCGATTCCCCTTCTCACTTTTTTTTCAGCTGCTGGTTCCACGGCTCTCGGATCGATGGAGCCGCCTCCCCCGCCCCTCTGAGCTTCCTCTCCCTGCTGCTCATTAGCGCCCCGATTAATCAGCCCCCCCCCCGTTTCCTCTAGGGGACAAGTGCTTCCTCCTCCTTGAGGACTTGCGCTTTCACAGGGCACCCCAGATCACAAGCTGCTCACTGGGACCCCCCCACTGGGGGCACCGAGACTTCGCCTCCCGGCTGCCAACAGGGTCTGTCCCTGCCTGTGATAACAGCCCACATGCCTGCCTCCCCCACCCCCGCAGGACAGCAGCCCCTCTGGGCTCCCCTGCCCCACTCTGCCAGGGGACACCCCGGTCTGTTTTTTTGGGTTGCACACCCTGCCATTCAAGCCCTGCACACGTCTGCTCCCTCCAATACCCCCATGTGGCCTCTCTGCTCTCTGGCCTGTTCACTCAACAGCATCCTCCCACCCCCAGCCTGGCTGTGGCTAGAAATTTGGAGAAGCAAAGTGGCCACAGATGTACAAGCCAGCCAGGGTGCCCTCTGTCCCAGACATAGGAGTGACTGAGTCGGGGTGGGGCGGGAGAAAGTGGGGGTGGGGTGGCCAGCGTCCCAGAGGGGGCAGGGTATGGTCAGTGTGGAAGTCTGGAGCAAAGCTCTAAGGAAGCCAAGAATCTTGGTGGCCTCAGGTTGTCCCCTTGTCTGTCTATCCTGCCCTCCTCTGCCTCTGCCCCCCCCCCCCCCATTCAAACAAGTGGCTCTCCCAAGGAGTTTCTAGAAGCCACCGTGAGGGGTGGGGGGAGTGGGGTCAGGTGGTGGCTGGATGCTGGAGTCAGGAGTCAGGGAGGCCAGGAGCTGGGAGACAGAGTTGGCTGACCCCTCCTGGGGTGTGGCCCAGAGAAGTGGCAGAATGAGCTGAGGGCTCTGGGTGCAGCGTCTTCCTTGGGTGGCCTGGGAGTGGGGCCATCAGAGGACCCCGCGAGTGGCTAGGGTATAGCAAGAGTTTGTGGGGCAGCTCGACGAGGTCTCCGGCAGAGACCAGGGATCCCTGTCCTGGGCTGGGGGCTGCCCCCTCCCCTGGCCTGGCTCCTGCCGCCCGTGCCGCCGGTGAAACGCTGTTGACATGTCCTGAATTATTAAGCACGGGGTGGGCTCCGGAGCACATGCTGAGCGGAGCGGCTGGGGCTGCGCGGCGTGGCGGAGCAGCTCACTCGCTTGCTCGCAGGGACACACGCAGGGGCTGACAGCTGTGCTGGTGCTGATAAGGGAAGCCACAAGGAGACGATCGAGGAGAGAGACAAGCGGCGGCAGAGGCAGCAGCGGCAGAGGCAGCACCAGGGCTGCGGAGCTGCTGGGAGTGGGAGTGACTCCCCCACCTCGGGCCCCCACCCTGTCCCCATCCTCCTCCAGCTTGCCCTGAGTTTAGAAGAACAGCCGCTGCCACCACCGACACTCCGGAGGGCACCGGGGGCTGCTGGCCAGGGAGGGACAGGGGCAGGGAGGCTCTGGCCAGTTCCAGCAGCCGGGGACAGATGCCGATCGAGATTGTGTGCAAAATCAAATTTGCAGAGGAGGATGCGAAACCCAAGGAGAAGGAGGCAGGGGACGAGCAGAGCCTTTTGGGGGCTGCGCGGGGGGCAGCAGCGCCCCGGGACCTGGCCACCTTTGCCAGCAAGAGCACTCTGCACGGGCTGGGCCGGGCCTGTGGCCCAGGCCCCCATGGACTTCGTAGAACCCTGTGGGCACTGGCTCTATTCACCTCGCTGACCGCCTTCCTGTACCAGGCGGCAGGCCTGGCCCGGGGCTACCTGACCTGGCCTCACCTGGTGGCAATGGACCCCGCTGCCCCAGCCCCAGTGGCGGGCTTCCCGGCTGTCACCCTCTGCAACATCAACCGCTTCCGGCATTCGGCACTCAGCGACGCTGACATCTTCCACCTGGCCAATCTGACAGGGCTGCCCCCCAAAGACCGGGACGGGCACCGAGCCGCCGGCCTACGCTACCCGGAGCCTGACATGGTAGACATCCTCAACCGCACTGGCCACCAGCTTGCCGACATGCTCAAGAGCTGCAACTTCAGTGGGCATCACTGCTCCGCCAGCAACTTCTCTGTGGTGAGTCCTGCCAGCTGGCCCGCCTGGCCCGGGGTGGTGGTGGTGGTGCGTGGGGGCATCCTCAGCGGGGTTTTCCTTCCTTCCGCCACCAGAGGCTGGCCTCGAGTCTCCCCCAAGCCTGGTGTTTCCCTCTGGCTCCCCAGCCATGGAGCTGGGGACACCCAGGGGCTTACCCTGGTGCTGCTGCTGCTCCTCCTCTTGGCTTTGCTGCCACCGCAGTGCCCAGGTCTGGGGCTGGGGTCCTGGAGGGGCCCAGGGGCCCCAAAGCTGGTCAGCTTGCAGGGGAGGAATGCACCACGCCAAGGCTGGGCCAACTGACCCCACTTTTCTTCTGTGGCTTCTGGGTTCTTCTCCTCACCAAATGAGGGTGAAGGGGAGAGGTGGTGTGGGGGGTTCCAGCAAGGGAGGGCCTCCGACTGCCTCCTGGGGAGCTGGCTCGGCTGGCAGGCTGGATGGAGAGGATCTTCGTGTACACTGGGTGTCAGTGTCTCTTCTGTCTCTGTCTCTCACACACACCCCCTTTCACAGACTCCCTCACACATCCCTCTTTCATGCTGCCCCTCCGGCTTCTCCCGCGTTCCAGTCCCTCCCTCCGTTTCCTGGTTGCTGCTGCTCCCTTGCCCGGCTCTGGCTCTGACACTGAGAATCACTCATTCACTCTTGTGTGCATGGCTCACCCTCACTGCTGCCCAGCGCACACACACACACACACACACCCCTATGGCTCCGGGACACAGTTTCCTGCACACTCCCTGTCACACACATTCAGTGTCCCTGCCATTACACTCACGTGCACACCTGCACACCCACACAGCTAGAGAGCTACATATCTCTGTGCACACATCCCAGCTCTTACTTAGCTGCCAAGGATCACGGGGTCACGCAGTAGATGCCATGCCCTCTTGTGACACCCCCCATCTCTCTCAACCCTGCTCCCCATGTGGGAACTGCTGTTGCCATCTCTCACCATGTATGTGAGTGTGGGGGGTCTTGCATGCCACCTGTCTGTCAGTGCTCCATTCACCCAGTCAGGGGTTATCTATTATTCCTGGTGCCTGGGATGCCTGTCCCAACCAGCTTACTCCCGGCATTGTGTATGTGAGTGTTTTCATGCGTGTTACCACTGCCCAGACGCATATGCACATATGTGTTGTCAACATGGTACCCACTTCAGCCCAGCCTCCAGGGCCAGCCCAAGAGACGGGGGACTTTCCCTCCTTATGGACGGGCCACCCCTACCCAGGCTCTCACTCACTCACTGCCTCAGTATCACCAGGAGACATGCTCCCACTAGGTGCCTGCCTCCCTCCTGCAGCCTCGGGGTCCTCCTGCCATTGGGTAGGAATGGGGGGAAGGGCAGAGGGAGAGGGGTGTGCTGGGACAGGAGTCAGGGCACTGACCTGCCATCCTGCTACAAACCTCCTCTTTTATGAGAAAGTCACTGCTCCCAAAGCCAGAGCTTGAGTGTCCCCCAGAAGAGGTGGGGAGTGCAGTGTGAATGCGGACTTTCAGATCCGTGGGTTCTTCTATGTGGCATCCTCACCCGTCTGAGGTGGGGGGACAGAGCCCAGTCTTAGCAGGTGCTGTTGGGGCAGAAATCAATGGGCGCTTTGTGTCCCTGAGCTGGAGTTTGTGTCCTGGCCCTGGCTGGGGTGGAAAGGGAAGGGGAAGGGTGATGAAACCCTGGCAGGAGGGAAGGGTAGGAAGAGATAAGAGGGATTGGGAAGCCAAGGTGAGGGGAGGCAGGGGGGTTCCTGCCTTGGCCCTTCAGGAGAGGAGCAGTGCAGAGGATACGGAGGAGGGAGTCCCTGCTCAGCTGCGAGTCTGATCC